GGTCTGCTGGGGGGGTCCAGCGGCTTTGCTGGACCCCCCCAGCAGACCAGGGAGACCGGGAGAAGCTTTTCTTGCCCCAGAGGACACGGGTGGCGATCCGCCGCCCGTGAGATCCGGGGCGAGAGAAGCCCTGTTCGTAAGTGCGGATCCGATGTAAGTCGGGGACTGCCTGTACAGTATTGGAACAGAAATACACTATATAGGGGAAATCATAGCAAAATGACAGCCTAGCATACTCTAGAATAGCTCTTCTAAAGAGCCCAGTTCTGTGATGGCTTTACATTGCTGTAGCCCCGCTGAGTTGTTCTTCAGTTGCATATGGAAGGGAGAGGAAAATTAGGTCTTTTATGTTTATAGTAATATCAAAACTTAACAGTAGCAAAGCCACAAAAGACTCAGGAAATCAGATTTCATCTAAGAAGTCATTAAGCAGGACTGATATTTAGGAAAGTAAATTTTATATATTTATATTTCATGAGGCCTGTGATACCAGAGGAAATCATAGGTAATACCACTGCTTAATGAAGCTTCTCCACCAGAAACAACAAATGAGAGATCAGAATTGGGTCCCAGATTATATATCTTTTCTCTGGCAGATATCCTACAGCTCCATACGTTTAATAGAAGAGGGAATGCAGAAAGCTTTTGCTAAGAGGATTTGAGCCTTATTGCTTAGCTATGTTACTGGTGGCCATATTTATGTTTTACTGATATGGACACTGAAAATGAAGTGTGGAGGTGGGAGAAGCAGGATTTGGGCCAGAAGATGGTGAATGAAAGAATCCTTTTCCCTGTGCCAATTCAGGATGGAGATTTTCTGAGAGTCCACTATAACAGAGCAGCAGGTTATGAGTTAGTGTAATTGCTCTTTGTAGAAATACCCAGTGAGTAATGCTATAAATGCTTTGGTGATCATATACTGTACCTAGATCAAGACTTAGCGGCTACATCTAGACTGGCATGATTTTCCGCAAATGCTTTTAACAGAAAAGTTTTCCGTTAAAAGCATTTGCGGAAAAGAGTGTCTAGGTTGGCCCGGATACTTTTCTGCAAAAGCACTTTTTGCGGAAAAGCGTCCGTGCCAATCTAGACGCGCTTTTGCGCAAAACAAATCTGAGCTGTCTACACTGGCCCTTTTGCACAAAAGCTTTGCGCAAAAGGACTTTTGCCCGAACGGGAGCAGCATAGTATTTCCGCAAGAAGCACTGATTTCAGACAGTAGGAAGTCAGTGTTCTTGTGGAAATTCAAGTGGCCAGTGTAGACATCTGGCAAGTTTTTTCTGCAAAAGCAGCTGCTTTTGTGGAAAAACTTGCCAGTCTAGATACAGCCAGCAATAATAATTAAAACTGACTTCAGCTCACTGAAACTATTACTGTTTCAGTCAGATTGATCCCTGCGTTTTCTGGTAACACTAGAGAAAGGAAACCTAAGAGGATCAGGGAATATTCAGATAAAGGAAGGTGGAAAATATTTGTGAACAGTTGAAAAGCAAAACTACCAAAAGTATTTAAGCATCTTGTGGATCTATTGTTTGCTTTAACATCCTCACATTCTTGATGGATATATCAGTTTGTATTAAGTTGAAACCAGACCAAACCCTACATCTTTGCTGTCTGAGGTCAAGGAGAATTTGACATTGATGTAAATAGGAACAGGGTGGGGCCCTGTATGTTAATGAAACAAAGTGCAAAACTTTGGTTTCATTTTTATTATAGTTTCATTTTCTTCTGACTGAGGAATTTCATGCCATGATAGTGTACAGAACACTAACTTTAAAACATGCATATTTTCTCCCTCTATGTTTATTCTAAGGGGAGGAGCTCTCTCATATCAATAATTTAATACATAACATACCTATTTTATGGTCAACAGCATTTTTCATATTAAACATATTTCCTTGCCAATGATGATAGTAGAAGTAATGAAGCTGCATGAAGCAAAAGTATCTGTCTGCTTAGTATTATATTATACCTGTGAAACACTGATCATGACCATTTTTAGTGACACTTAAAACAGGTTAACAATATTTATCTTTGTTAGGTGTTTCTCACCAATCTGAAAGATGAAGTAATGTATTTAATCTTCCAAATTGCCTCATTTGTGTGACTTTGTTCAATTTAATTAAAAATGTTCAAAATAAAATTCCATCGATAATACAAGTAGGTAAACAATTCTGGGTAGTTGCTGAAGTTTCTGTATTACACTCAAGGTAATGTAGCAAAATAGCTTCCCATAATAACTCCATGTTTCCAGAACTTTCCACAACATTTACATTTTGGGATGAAATTCTCCATGTTTACCTTCTGTCTTTTTGTGAGACTGAGCAAAGTCCTTCCAGCTATTTTTGGATGTGGCATGAGTGAAAAAAATACCCCTTTGCTGTATAAACAATTTAACTACAAGGCTACTTTAGAAAACAGCTGAAGTTTGAAGCTTGAAACTAGTCATAGACAAGTCCCCAGTCCCCAAGAAAGAGTAATTTTTGTTGTTGTTGTTGTTAGTAAAATAATTGCAAAAATAAAATTGGATTTACAAAAATAAAACCTTGTGAAGGGTGTAAACTGGCTGAGATATTTACAGTTCCTGCAGATGTGTACTTAAAGAGGGGTGACAACTATATGAGTGCACAGTTAGGTTGTGTGCAGCAACTGATGTTTTAGAACTTGCAAGGGATCTAAAACTGAACAAATAACTGGAATAAAGAATTTGGCATTAGAATCTATAAATCCAATTATACCAGGTCAGGGTGTTACAAGGAACAAACTGTACCTACACACTGCAAAGATGATCTAAAGTATGCAAGCCAGATTTTCTCTGTCTAACCCCACCCCTTTCTCCTTAAAAAGTAGGAAATTAAATGCAAAATGCCATTGTTAATGAAGTGTTTAAATTTGTGAAATGAAGCCATGCAAAAGTCATGACATTTACAATTTTAAAGTTATCAATGTTAGATTATCCCCAATGCACATAGATAGCCCCTTATTAAATGCAGACCTTAAAGTAGTACTCTTGCGTGTTAATACATTGTATGTATTTACTGATGTATATCATAATATGCATACACACTCAGTACACAAAGTGGCTGAATTAACATGGCTTGAATGCCTGAGTTTACAAGTTAAAGTTGTGTTCATGCTATTTTTGTATGTATATGTAAGTATAATGTTGTGTATATGTGTGCGTGTCTTCGTGAATACTGAAGTGCATTAAATTATATCTTAACTTTGTTTCGTGGCTGTTAGAAAATAAAGTAGGATGTGAACTGAAAAAAGGAAAACCTTCTCCTCCCCGTAAGGCTTCAGTCTTTCTCCTCCCTGAAGCCAGAAGGATGTTAGTTGCTATGTTTTAAAAAGGCTATTTTTTTAACTCCCTGATGTATCAGGAAAGGGGGTCTTTAATCTTTCCGGCTAAAAATTAACGTCAGCCCACTCAGTTTGTGCACTGACCATTTAGGGGCTCTGCAATCGGGGAAGCACATCGCTGTGACGAAGCTCATATTTTCAATTCTTTTGCAAGCTTCAAAAACTAGCGCAAAGAGGGTTTTGCTTTTCTGAATAAAAAGCCCCTCTCGCCCACACCCCCGATTCCTAAGAAAGCCTGGGAAGATGCGGAATAACACACGCCCCGTGCCGAAGCGCCCGAGGAAGCACGTTCCCGCCGCACGGGGGAAGGGAATGGAGAAGTGAATCTTCTCTAGAAATCATGATCGGACAGTTTTTGGAGGGGAAGCTACCTGGGCTTTCTGCCCTTTCCAAAAGGACCTCGAGTCTCTCAGTGAAATGCCCTCCCCTCCGAGGGCTACGGCCCTTCTCTCCTCGCACACCTCAGCTAAATCTCCAGTGGGGACGAAAACTTCCAAGAAGGCGCGAGAGACGTAGACCGGCGCGGATTGTGGCAGTGTCAACGCGCGAGCCCCACGCTGCTCCCCTTGCACAGGGGCAGCCCAGCAAGGCTGGCGCTCGTACACACCCTGTTCACACACACAGCGGCGCGGTAGCAGGGAGGCTAAAGGGCCGCACAAATGCCTGATGCACAATTGCACGTTCCCCCCCTACACACAGAGAGATCGGATGGGGGATTTTCCAGCCGTTACAAGCCTTTCCCAAAGGAGCCCTTCAACGGACCAGTTCTACCCCTAATTCCGCCTGTCTGTCATTGCCATCCCGGCGCCGCAGGCTGCCAGCGATTCGCAGTCACGCAGGTAGCTTGGTCTCCATTGGCTCCGCAGGGTGACACGCAGCTGCCGGAGTTAACATCTGGCGGCGCGCCCAGGCGGCAGCAGTCCTCTTATGGGGCGTGTGCGAGCCAGCCAGCTCCCTGGCTCCTCCTCCCGGCCGGGACCGGGAGCGTCTTGCATCACCGCCCGGTGCGCGCTGCTCCCCCGCCTCCTCCGGCCCGGCTATTAATAGCATGACATCAGCCAGGCGCTCGCCGCCAGAGTAAATACCAGCGCTGCCCACTCGCCTATATAAGGAGGGTGATGCAACCCCTCGCACAGGCAGATTCAGGCGCGTCCGGGGAAGGAGGCTCTGCTCTCCTATCGGCGAACTCGGAACTGCCCGGCAGCGGCGCCCCCAGCCCGAGAGACGCGGGCAGCCCCTGCTTTCAGCGCGGGCTCGCTCCTCGCTGCGCTCGGCCCCTCTGTGCTTGTCCCGGCAGCGGAGAGGCGCCGTGAGAAGCGGCGGGGAAAGGTCAGTGAGCTGGGGAAGGGAGGCGGGCGGGCGGCGGCGAGGAGACCGCGACTCAGTCAGCTGGTTCTCCCGGGAGCGTCGGCACTTTGCTAAGCGACTGATCCCAGCCAGGGGACAGGGTCTGCCCGGGCCAGTCGGGCGGGCTGGCGGCTTTGCGATCGGATCGTCCGCAGAGCCACAAGTGAAAGCAAAAGCTCGCTGGGCAGAGCGGCGTTTCTGAGTCCTGGAGCCACGCGCACCAAAGAGACCCCCCCCCCCCCTTCTGCCGCTTGGGAGCCTGGCACGCGCCCTGCCCCCGGGCACGGCTCGGGAGCCCCCTGTGACACCGAACAAGTTCTCACAGGAGTCCGAGCCCCCCTTGCGCGTCACCGGCCGGAGCCCGGAGCGGCACTTGTGGAGCGGGGCAGATGTCGCATCTGGCCACCCCCTTCTTCCGGGCGGCGAGAGTTTGCCGATGTGAGCGCCCGCAGTTGCTCTCTTGGCTGCTTCATTCGTTTCTCTTGGGCCGGGGTAGCGCCGGAGGCCACGGGGAGGAGGGGGGGCGCATCGCTCGACAGTAAGAGCGCGGCTCTGCTTGTCGGCGGGACGCCCATCGCTCCTGAGCTGCTGCCGAAGTTTTGCCAAAGTAATGTAGAGAAAAAAGTTAGTGACGAAGCTCAAGGCACCCTCTGACTTCTGTTAATGAGGTAACGGCGATGACTGTGTCCGTTGAGACGAAGGATACACATAACTCCCAAATGAAGCTCTTTTCCTCTGTTATTTTGGGGGAACAGTGACCTCTTTTGATTAGAGTACACACAGACATGTCATCCTGCGAGGGGATGAAGAATTAGCGAGAAAGTCACTATTAGACAATAATCGTCGTTTTTTCTCCACTGACGACTAACCCGAACAAGATCAGTTGCTGAACTGTTGCCTAACTAGGATTGAGTGACGACGCAACAGAAAACTGTTACACACAGAACCAGTTTCCTGTGTGAAATCGATTTTCTTGGTAGTAACAACAGCAGAGACGTTCGAAGCCTGAAAAAGAGGTAGTTATGATCTGGAATGTCAGAATCCTAAAGGCCAATTTGAGTACACAGAGGTTGTGAACGGTAATTGCCCTTTAATGCCCTGTCAGATTAACCTGTTTGGCTCTCATCGTTTATTACGTCAGCAGCCGAGGAAAATGAATTTATCTAGGGAAATACAGCTAAGTCATCTGCAGTTAAGCCAAATGGAAGCTAGGAGTGAGGGTGCCCTGAAGTGTTAATTATTAATATTAGCATTAAACTTGAGCACACTTTAAATAACATAAATGCTAGTTTGGACTTCCAAGAATGTGTCCTGACACAACTTCTCAGAATGGGAGAGGGGAAAACTAAAAGCAGTGGGGAAATTATTAATAAAATAACTATAAATGGAAGGAAGCATTAGTTTTGAAAATTATCTCTGAATAACTAGCAATGTATGCTGTCTGTTATAGAAACAAAACTGTCTAATGGGATCTTATTTGTAAAACTTATTATTTTGTCTTGATCATAAGATTCTGATGGAGGAGTGAGCACTTGCTCCAGGGATGAATTGAGCCTCTGTGGTCCTATTCTGTGGGGTGTTCAGCACCTCCATCTTCCACTTCAGTGAAAGATAAAGATGTTCAGCACCTTACCAAGTGGGATCTATGTAGTTGTATGGACTTGTAGTTAAACAGAAAAGCCTAGATGTCATTTTTTTTCTTGGGTTAATTATAGAGCAAGTCCAATTGTGTTAGTGCTTTACAAAGTGAACCAGGTCCTTGACCCAAATAACTTATAGCCTTAGATAATTTATAGGAAAATGACTGGGGAAAAAAGGATGCAAAACAAAATGTTTAACTTTTGCTTGTTCTATCTTGAATAAAAAATGTTTCTAACCAGAGGATGATATCAACATTACAATTTTATATCTATTTACCAAGTATATATCTAGCATTCTGTACTTCTGATGTAGTCTACCCAGAAGTGATGTCAGTGATTAACTAGTGGCTGGGCTGGAGCAACTTCCCGCCCACCTGTGGTGCAGTGCGGTAGGCCCAGCTGGACTAGCCCCCAGCCTCAGGCAGGCTGCAGCCCAGCCTGGCCCGCCACGCTGTGGGCGGTGGATGCTCCATCCAGCTGAAGCAGCCCCCACCTGAGGTAGGCCCAGACCACAGTCTCTGTACTTCTGATATGGTTCTGATTTATCATTATTTGTATTCTCATAGTGTCTGGAACCCCATGGAGCAGAACCCTACTGGGCTAGGCACTATACAAACAAGACAAAAAGACAGTCTCTGTCCCAAAAGAGCTTACAAAACAGGTCATCAAAACCAAAAAAGTTGAAAGTAGCAGCAAAATCCACCAAAGAAAAACTAACCCAAAACAATATTCCCACAAACCTACCTGCCCACAATCTTCAGCCCCTTCATGAATAGCGGTGTCTTTCAGGATGTTGGAAGGTCAGGAGACTTGGGCAATTTCAGGCCAAGGGGAAGTGCAAGTTCTGAAGTCAAGGGTGACTGTAGAAAACAGTCTCCCATTACTCTTAAATCATGGAGACATCAGTAAAAGCAAATAAAGTTATAAAAGGGATTCTAGCAAAATTTTGTTGCTAGTGGATATTTGAAAATAACTCCTCCAATTACTAATGAAAATCCAGCATGGACAATATTTCTCATGATATTTTCCATTAAAACTGTGAACATTCTTGGTTTCTTTTGGTGGTAATGCTGATTTTAATTAACATTTTATCCAAATATGTTTTTTAAAAAAACAGACCTGCCACTAGGACTGAAAATGTATTAGCACAATTAATTAGTTGGGGTGGGCTGGTGGCTTTATTAATTTAGCTCTCTGACTGTAGTGAATTAGAATTATCTAAATAGAATTAAGCCTTCCCCATGAACATAAACAGTGACAGCTAATGCACACAGCTAAGGCTTCCTCTAGTCAGGGACAATGATGAGTTCAATCCCATTGGGAAATAGAAAGAACTTATCTGAATGCATTGGTGAAATAGTAAATGCTGTTATTGGTTCGTCAGCTGGAAATCCGAGTGATGTTTCTAACTTGCTGGAGATGAGTATATTCTAGCTCTCTGAGATTATGGAATTAATGGGTATCAGTACTTCAGATGTGATTGATGAGCAGGGGCTTCCTGAAGTGAATTACATAAATTTCCCAAGGTCTGATGAAATGACAGCTAGTACCAGGGAATTTTCCCTTCTTTAATAACTGAGGGCAAAATCCTGGATGTATTGAAATCAGTGGGAATTTTTCATTGACCTTAGTAGGGCCAGGATTTTCACATGGAGAGTTTGGGAGCTCTTCAGCCCTTCTATTTTTTATTGAAATTGAGAACATTCTTGGAAAGCCTCTATAGCTGGGATTTGGAGACTGGGGCAAGAGAATTCTACATATTGCTAGTTCTCAAACCTTAGGATATTGTAAATTACCTTTTACAAATATTTAGCTGTGGCCGAAATCCTGCTCTCAATTTCTGCAGTTGAAATGTAAATTTCTGGATAACTGAGTGAAGAATCTGGCTTTTTTGTTAGGTGGTGGTGAAGCTACCACCCGAAGCTCAAAGATATAGCTGACATAAAAGTGACTAACTGTGAAAATCTAGGCTAACTACATAAAGCCTTCACTTCACTACACAGATCCCTGGAGGCAGTTGTCTACTTACCTGGTAAGAAGTTAATTGCAATTGATTTTACTATAATTTCCATATGAACCAAGAAAAGTTATTACTGCAGTAGTTCCATGACTACAGGAGATATGGTTGACTGCATCCTCTGAGGAAGCAGAAGTAATATGGTAAAATCTGAATTTTATCCAATTTAAAAAAAATAAGGATCAGATCCTCCATTGGTGTCAAGTTGCACAGTTTCATTGAACTTAATACAACATCATTCTACAATGGTGGAGGATCTGGCCATAAATGTTTGGTCATTCTAAATACTTTAATTCTGAGGATGTGCAAATGCACTTTCAGATTTCACAAGGGCAAAATAATGAAATACACTTCACATTTTGTGTTATTCCTACCCTCCAACACTATCTCTGGCTTGATACCCCTGAGCATATATAGCTGTTTACACTTGTGCTAAGTCTTATTGCAAACTGTTTTGCAGAAATTTCACTTTTGTTCTGAACGATTTTGGGACAGATTCTTATCTTGCTCAGTCATACCCATGGATATCTAGATCTTGTAGAGTTGCTCTCGATTTACACAGATGTAACTGTGGTAAGGGTCTGGCCCATTTCTTCCTTGATCAAATACAGTGGCATGCGGGAACTATTTATTTTGTGTCCTTTTACAATTTTAAAATTTAAAACGTATTCAGTTGCCATTTTTCTTTGTATGGGTCCTTTCCTCCTTCCCATCCCAATACTACGCTCACGCATACTGACATGTTTAAAGGATTCACAATGCTATTTTACTTTGTAGAAGGATTCTGAAAATGGACTTGCATACTAAGATAGTATCTAAAGAACAAACAGCTATTTTAAAAAATTGACTCAATATAGATGCATGCACTTAGGACCTGATTCCAATTGTTTGATTTCAGTGGAAGATTGGGTTCCTCAAGGAATGCAGGATCAGTCCTTATAAAGCAGACAGTAACTGTTCTCTTGCAACCATTATGAGCTACAGTATATGAGACTCTAAAAGAAACCTAGGGTGCATTTATGCAGCACCCTAAATTTGAAATAAGATATGTAATTTGTGTAGCATAAATTGTGTATCTTATATCGAATCTAATTCAAAATAGCTTATTTTGAAATTTGGCGTGTCTACACAGTGCCAAATTTTGAAATAACTCACTATTTTGAGCCATTCCTTATCTCTTGTGGAACAAGGTTATAGCACGCCTGGTCTTTTGAAAAATATTTCAAAATAACGGACATGGGGTAGCTATACCTCCGGTATCCCAAAATAGCCATGCAGAGTAGACGTACGCTGATATGTAAACAGAAATAGTGTAAGAATGTAATCTTAACATACACAGGGATTGGTTCACTGTTACAAAAAATGCATCTCTTTTCTGTCAAATCTGTTTGGCGTGTTAAGATTATTGTAAGACTGTTTCTATTTTGTTCTTTTTCAGCAAAATGATGCTCCAAAACCCAGGCCAGGTATCTGCATCAGAAGTCAGCGCCTCTGCAATTGTTCCCTGTTTGTCTCCTACAGCATCACTGGGGTTTGAGGATTTTACAAATCTAACCCCACTGGTGAAGGAGGAATTGAGATTTGCCATCCAAAATAAGTGCCTATCCCACAGGATGTCCTCCACATTGGATACAGTGACAGTATTGGAAAGACCTGTTGAAATGTCTGTTCTGAAAGCAGAGGTATCATTCCTTTGATAATATTTCCATTTGATTGATTAGTGTTCTAATTAAATATACCACAAAATATACCCAAGACCAAGAATGATATAATCTCAAACACAGAGGCTACGTCTACACTGGCCCCTTTTCCGGAAGGGGCATGTTAATTTCAGCTATTGTAATAGGGAAATCCGCGGGGGATTTAAATATCCCCCGCGGCATTTAAATAAAAATGTCCGCCGCTTTTTTCCGGCTTTTAGAAAAGCCGGAAAAGAGCGTCTACACTGGCCCCGATCCTCCGGAAAAAGTGCCCTTTTCCGGAGGATCTTATTCCTACTTTGAATAACTTCCTCCGGAAAAGGGCGCTTTTTCCGGAGGATCGGGGCCAGTGTAGACGCTCTTTTCTGGCTTTTCTAAAAGCCGGAAAAAAGCGGCGGACATTTTTATTTAAATGCCGCGGGGGATATTTAAATCCCCCGCGGATTTCCCTATTACGATAGCTGAAATTAACATGCCCCTTCCGGAAAAGGGGCCAGTGTAGACGTAGCCAGACAGTCCTCAGAGGGACTAAATCTGTCAGTGTGTTCAGTGCTCTAGTGTTTCTTTTATCTATTTCTTTAGATGCTACTGTGAAACACTATTTCACCTTTAATTTCAGTTTCAGAGACAGTTTACTTTTCACTTAAGAAATGTTATTACTTCTGTTATTAATGAAAGGAAGTATCTCTAGAGGCTAGTCTCAATCTGCTCTTCACTACGTAGAGGACCTCATTCTGATCTGTTACATCAGTTTTACATTTGATGACCTCAGATGAGTTGCTCCTTATTTATACTGTTGTGAGATCAGAATTATACCTGTAGGCCAGGGTGTCTGATACTCTGTATTGGTACCATGCCTATGGGTATGTCTACACTAGCCCCCTAGTTCGAATTAGGGAGGCTAAGGTAGGCATTCGAAGTTGCAAATGAAGCCCGGGATTTAAATATCCCAGGCTTTATTTGCATCTTTCCGTCCGGGCGCCATTTTTAAATCCCCCTAACTGAACTAACTGCCCACGGCTACATGCGGCAGTCAAATGTTAACTGAGTCCTTGGTTTGAGTTAACTGTTACACCTTGTGGTGTAACAGTTAGTTCGGACTAGGGGGATTTAAAAATGGCGCCCGGACGGAAAGATGCAAATAAAGCCTGGGATATTTAAATCCCGGGCTTCATTTGCAAATTCGAATGCCTACATTGGCCTCCCTAGTTCAAACTAGGGGGCTAGTGTAGACATACCCTATTAGTGCTAACCTTTAATGATACCATCATTTTAAAAGTCAGCAATTATCAACATAATTATTCTGTATTTACCGCATCATGCTGAGTATGTACATCTTGAATCTTGCTAGTTTTCACCCCAAGAAGATGAAAGGAAAAAGAGAAGAAGGGAAAGGAACAAAATTGCAGCTGCAAAATGCCGAAACAAAAAGAAGGAGAAAACAGAATGTTTGCAGAAAGTAAGTTACTGACTTTGACTGTTCTACCCTATATTCTCCTTCTGTTATTTGAACAGATAGGACAAATCTCTTTGAGCTGAAAGTCAGAATTTGGAGTCAAGAGATCAGGACTCGGTTTCTGTCTCTGCTACAGGCTTCCTGTATGATCCTGGACAAGTCATTTATCATCTTTTCTTCCAATTGTAAAATGGATACATTTCCATCATTCAAGTGGTAGAAAGCTGAATTCACCAATGAGTGAAATTCATCTCTATTCAGAAGGCCTATAAAAATCCTAAGGCCTGGAGTGAATTTCACCCAAATGCAGTTAGATCAAATTTGGTTTACAGTGAAAGACATACATGAGAAATAATTGCAGAAGGATAAGAAAAAGTTGCAATTTTAGTGAGCGATAGGGTTATATATGTGGATAATGGTAATATGAAAATGTAAATGGAACACATGAGGAATTAAAATTACTTGTCACATAATGTACATTATTGATTCTAATAAGATACTTTATCCATGCACTAAAGCTTGATTTCTCGATGAAATGACTCTCCAGTTAGAAATGATCACTGATGTGGTAATTTAACGTATTAAAGTTTCAGCTCATTTGGTTTATAATTAACATTCCTGATTGAACTTCTTAGAAGTAATTTTAACATATCACAAACTTATCATCTTTTAGCAAATATACCCCGCACCCGAGTATACCCTGCACCTGAATATACCCCGCGATTTTTGCAGTTTGAGTAAAAAAAAATCTTGTATACCCCGTGCATGAGTATAACCTGCAGGGTATACAAAACTTTTTTTCAAACTGTGCGGGGGAGGAGGAAGTTTTTTCGGGGGGGGGGGAGGTGGCCTGCCCGGCACTGTGCCTTAGTTCCCACGCAGCCACACAACCTCCGGGCAGGGGAGCACTCACCCCCCTGGGTCCCGTGCGGCTGCACAACCTCCAGGCGAGGGAATGAGGGAGTGCTCCCCCAGCCCCTTCCTGCCCCCCCCCTGCCTCACCCCGCCCCAGCCTCTAGCCTCCGGGCAGGGGGAACGCTCATCTCACGGTTCCTGCGCAGCTGCAGGAAGGCGCAGGGGGAGCGCTCCTGCACAGGAACTGGGGGATGAGCGCTCCCCTGCTTGGAGGCTGTGCAGCAGGAGAATGGGCAGGGGAGTGCTCACCACCAGGTGAGTAAAAATATTTTTGTATATCCCGCACCTGAGTATACCCCGCAGGGGCGGTGCGGGGTTTGTAAAAACGAATATAACCCGCAGGTTATATTTGCTAAAATACGGTAGTACTATTACTATTGCTTACTGATATAGGTTGAACCTCTCTAGTCCAGCAGTCTTTGGTCCAGCAACATCTGTGGTCCAGCATGATTTTAGTTAGCTGGATGTCCGCTTATCGTAGGTTTGGCCAAGTTTCCCGGGCTCTCATAAAGTTTGTTACAGCCATCAGTCCTGCCTCTCAGTGTTCTGTGCTGTTATTTAGCTCTAATTACCCTTAAATGTCTTCTAAGAATCCAGTAAGCAGTGGAAGTGTTGGTCAGGCTGCTAGACAATATTGACCTCTGCAAATACTCTGGTTCAGCACCAATCAAGTCGAAGGGTGCCTGACTAGAGAGGTTCAACCTGTAGCTGGTCTTTAGTCTGGGTAATCTGGACCTTCCATGGTTCGGCAAATTCTCTGGTCCCAAGGGTGTTGGACTAAAGAGATTCAAACTGTACCATAAAACAGTAATGCTGTTATAAAAGATTTGTAGACAAGAACATTTATACATGGTAGCACAGAGGACACAAGAATAGGCACAAAGTATCCCAAAGTCTTTCTGCATTAGCAAGTTTGTAAATAGTAGTGTTTACTATTTAGTGTATTAAGCATACTAAGCAATCTGAAAGGCCCTATATCACTGAGGGTATGTCTACACTACCACCCTAGTTCGAACTAGGGTGGTAGTGTAGACATACCCTCAGTGATATAGGGCCTTTCAGATTGCTTAGTATGCTTAATACACTAAATAGTAAACACTACTATTTACAAACTTGCTAATGCAGAAAGACTTTGGGATACTTTGTGCCTATTCTTGTGTCCTCTGTGCTACCATGTATAAATGTTCTTGTCTACAAATCTTTTATAACAGCATTACTGTTTTATGGTACAGTTTGAATCTCTTTAGTCCAACACCCTTGGGACCAGAGAATTTGCCGAACCATGGAAGGTCCAGATTACCCAGACTAAAGACCAGCTACAGGTTGAACCTCTCTAGTCAGGCACCCTTCGACTTTTCAGAAAGAGCAGGGAATCCATTAACATCACTCTTTGTGTTGACAAGAGGGGCTTATCAGAGAAAAGCAGGGTGCTCCTTTTTATCATCCTCTACCCAAAATGAACAGACTGCCTCCACATGCTCTAAGTCTTTGCTGGCCTGGGAACAAGGAACCAAGCTGGAATCAAGGATTCAGACCCTGGGACGCAGCTCACTGGAACTTCCACTAGGCCATTGGACTGGCCGAGTGAGTTCATAATGGGGTTTTTTTTTTGTAGTGGTGGCAAGTAACATTCCATTTGGCCAAAGTACAGTTTGGCCCATAGCTCTAATTCATTTGGCTTTGTGACCATTGTCATGTTTCTTTAAAGGGCAATGAGGGCCACTGTCTGAATCTGTTCTTGAGATTATTATATGCTGGTGAGGTATAACTGTATAGTTATAAGATGTATTAATAAGCATGTAATTTCTTTCTAACCTAGCCATCATGCTTTGCTACCAGCAACCGTCACAATAACATGGTTAACTATGTCAAATTCTCATTTTAATAGTTATGTCTCTGCTCTGTGGCTAGGAATCAGAAAAGCTGGAAACTATCAATGCAGAATTAAAGGCCCAGATTGAAGAGCTAAAGAATGAGAAGCAACATTTGATATACATGCTGAATCTTCACAGGCCCACTTGCATAGTCCGAGCACAGAATGGGAGGACGCCTGAGGATGAACAAAACCTCTTTATTCAACAGATCAAAGAAGGAACATTGCAGAGTTAAGTGACATTGAAGCAAATTAAGAGTTCTCATAGTGCATCTTTACACCAAAAAAACAGAAACCATGGAGGATTTGACTCAATGTGTATCTGTGGGATCCTATTAGTCTAGAACCGTTAGGCAGAGAAGATTGCTTTGTTAAGCAGGAAGGATCGTGTTGGCTTAGCTGTGATTCTTCATCTCCAAAGATTTGTTCTTGATCAAGTTGAAGAGCCCTCTGCCTCAACTCTAGTACTTGTCAAACTTGCTGTTCCTAGAAGCTACAACAACAGTTCTGGAAGTTTTAGGTTCCTGCTAGTGTACAGTGCCTGCACTCACGATGTTTGTGTTAGAACACTATGACTTCCAATGATGCACATCATACCAACAGCTGTGCTGGATGGACACTATCTTTCTTTGTTGCTGGTGGGGGAAGCACACTGAGAGAAAGCACACTGAGAGATTTTTGTTTTGCAGTTTCCAGAATGATGCTTTCTGGCAGAATGTGTTGTGTGATGGGACATACTGTAGTCTAATCTAATGCTGCAAAGACTTTAGTTTCAATCTTAAGCATTGTGCTTATGTTTTTTTTTCACAACACTTGTGTGGGTTTTTCTGTGACTCAGAGGCAAATTCTGAGAAGTCTGATAGGTGTGACAAATGTCAGTTTCTTGCCAAATGTCCATGTAGCTAAGTTTGCATTTACTGAACAGTGCCACATACTGTTCTTCAGGAATTGCAATTTTGTAATGAAAAGTAGGAAAGCACCTTGGCCTTTGAGCACCCAGAATACAACACTGTTATTCAAAGAACTTTATGAAAATAAAATTACACAGTAAAAATAGACTTGAAAAATCTAATGTTTCCCTGATGTGGTGAGCATGCAATCTTTATTCAGACAAAACTCCAATTTATCATTCATTTTGAGTGAAATTTACTCCTGTGCAGAAGGCAGATGCTAAAGCCTTATTACATCCTGTAAGCCTTATTTTGATGCTATAAATGTAATTTATTTTATGCATAGACCTTGCGCTGATCCTCTGCATAGTGGGGAATTACACTTTCTGGGAAGAAGGAATGAACCAGGAAGGGACTTCAGTAAGATTTTTGCTTGAGGCAGGATTGCGGGGTTGTACTTCAAGTTTGTGAATCACAGAAAATAGAAATAGAAAACACATTTAATTAGATCACGTAGAGGCTGATTCTCCACACCGTTACTTAGATTAGCAATCCTGTTCCCACAAGTAGTTCCTGGGTAGCTCTTACTCAGGGGATCAACAGTTTGAAGATGAGAGACTTCAGACCATTGCTCACCCGAGTAAGAGGTGAGCATCCTGTCAGGATTATTTATTTCCAGAAGATTTATATGGAAGGGGGAGGGTGAAGGGGAGAGGAATTCTGATTGTATTAATTTTTCTTTCCCATTTGAGTGTTAACTGCAATCAACCAAGTTGCTGTTTAGAATCTAAGAATAGCTTTGAGTTTGATGTAGTGAGAAACTATTTTTACTTTTTTTAAAATCTAACAGATGTTTTGAACTACTAGTTGAGCTGCTGGACTAAAGAACTAGAGCTATGAGTGTTTAAATTCTGATGTTTCTGTGAAATCCTCAGATTGTTTAATCCTATTAAATATTATTACATTTTTTTGTAAAAGAAAATATTATCTTTATTTATCACTAATATTCCTAAGAGGTTGACCTAATAAATATTACAAAGTAGACAAAATGAAAACACAAGTGTTGTACTGTTTTTTATTTTTACTTTTTGGTGTCTAATATTATATATTTCTAAACTTCAGTGCTTCTATTTGGGACACCACTATTTAAAAAAGTATTAATGCCTGATCCTTGCCTCACATGAGGTATTGATCATCATCTTGCAGGATTGGGATCAGAGATTTCATAACTCCATCAGTGGTGTCTAATTACTTACCTTTTCAACAAAGCAAAACATAAGAATGGAGCTTACAGTACATAATATTTTACACCAGTTCTGCAGTGTTAAAAAATACAATTTCAATCTAAAGGCTAAACCAATAGATACCTCAACCACCAGCTTCTTATTTTGCAAGTCCCAGATGGGTAAACTGAATATTATGCCAGATCCGTTTTTTATTTTTATATTCTGCAATAGAACTTTTTAATACACTTTCCTAAGATCAGGATATATTATGATGTCCTATATCATGTCTGAAATACATACTTCAAGTACTTGAAAAGTAAATGTACAAAATGCAACATATTGGGCCAGATTCAGTCCTGGGGACAAAGTCTCTCATTGCAGGTTTTGTGAAACTTCCATTGATTTTAATGAGAGATTCTCGGAGCCTGTGGCTGGAGAACAGAGCTCCTTCATGCAGTTCCGGTTCCTTAACTGGAGTTACACAATGGATAAATTTGGCCCATTTTTTGTCTGACACGCAAAGAACATAGAATATGTTTCAATAACCTTGTCAAATGAATTTTCATTAGCATTTGACTTCTGTAATATAGAAGCAGTAGATCTAGACATAATCCAGATACCAAACTCCTTATATTTGTCAATAAAAAAGTTTGTCACCTATGATGTTATAAGGTATTAGTACAGAGCTGGCTTCATTTACTGTTAAATATCACCAAATTCACATCCTTTTCTTTAGGAATTTTGTACAGTTGCTCTTAACTGTATTACTGGTGACGCAGGCGTCATGCTTTTGCTGCTTGATTTAAACATAATGTTATTTACTAGCATGCTAAATGTTAATGTGGTATCACTCCTTTTGTCAGAAGATATTCTGTTTTTATTTCTATCTGTTCAGTCATAGCTGCTCTTCACTGTGCATGAATGTGTATGCATTCATGTGTGTATGAACGACTATAATTCAGATGTTATGGTACTGAAGTTAATTGGAATATACCCATGAAAGCAATGTTTAAAAAGGCTAGAGAAGAACAATGCATTGCATGGGTTTCGTAAATGTCTACTTCATTCAGGAGAACCTTTAAAACAGCATTAAAAGAAATTTGTTTTCTATTCTGAAGGATATGTTTTGATACTTTTTAATAAAAAATATAAAAATATACATTTGCTTTTGTGTGCCTTAATTCATCCGAAGAAGTGCTGACCAAAAATGTTAGCCTGAATACTTTTCAAATGAGCAACACAGTGGAAATTGTAGTAGATTGGAGTTATTTAAATAGCAGTATCCCCACGATATACTAGACTAACAAAGCCAGTGCATAGTTTCAAAATCTAGTTGGACAACTGAAACATTTAAAATTTCAACTGGAATTTCTACTAGGAAAGACAGCAGTTAGGGGGAATTTGGGACCTACCAACTTCAACAGTATCTTTTTTTCTAAATGGAACTTTCCTATCAATATATCCTTTTAAAAGACTTGCACTAGCCATATATAGTGAAGTTACTCACCTTGGTGCAGTAACTATTGTTCTTCGAGATGGTGTTTCACTATGGGTGCTGGGTTTGCCCCAGCACCGCAGAACGGAGACTTTTCCAGAAACAGTACCTGGCCGGACTGCTCATGCACCGTGGCGTCTCGTGGCGTTCGTGCTCTTTTCTCTGAGTGCGTGGTCCAATCCCCACCAGTTCCTCGAGGCCACCTCAGAGTCTGTAAGACATAAACAGGAAAAAAAGGATTCTGAAACAAGAAGGAGGGCAGGTTGTGGAGCACCCGCGGGGACACCATCTCGAAGAACAACAGTTACTGCACGCACGTGAGTAACTTCATTTTCTTCTTCAAGGATGTCCCTGCGGGTGCTCCACTGTGCGTGACTGAACAGCAGTAGTCGCCAACCCAGAAGGAGGGAAAAACGGAGTCCCTATTTATCTGCTGTGGAGAGCACTGCTGCCGCCGTCACCACTGCCACATCCAAGTGTCTCCCGTGGAGTAAAGCATAATGTTTGGCAAAAGTGTCATGTGAGGATCACGTGGCCACCCTACATATGTCTTTCAGGGTAACCCCTTTGAGAAGCTATCGAAGTAGCCATGGCCCTAATGGAGTGAGCCCAAGGTCTGACTGGAAGCGGTATACGTTTCGCCGCATAGGCCTCTGTTATGCAGGTGGTTATTAGTTTAGAAATTCATTGAGAGGATGTGCGCTGTCCTTTTGATCTGTTGGCCAGTGATACAATTAAACAATCAGTCTGCCTGAAGGGCTTCGTGCGGTCCAGGTAGAAGGCTAGGACCCTTCGGGCATCGAGTGTGTGAAGGGCCGCTTCTCATGGGGAGGACTGCGGTTTCAGGTAAAAGACCGATAGGATGATTGGCTCATTTATATGAAAACTGGATGGCGTCTCAGTACTACGCCATCCTTATAGAATATTGTATATGGCGGTGTCGCCATTATAGCTGAGAGCTCTCCCACTCTGCATGCTGATGTTATGGCGAAGAAGGAATACCATCTTCATAGTTAGGAACTGTAAGGGTATAGTGACAAGTGGTTCAAATGGTTGAGCCATTAAGACTTCAAGGACAACATCCAGATTCTAGACCAGTGGGATTGGATCTTGTGGTGGGCTCATATTTGTAAGACCCTTGATAAATCTCTCTGTAGTCAGATGAGCAAAGATGGAGGTTCCATCGATTAGTGATCTGAATGCGGAAATTGCTGCCAAATGTACCCTGAGAGATGCTAATGAGAGATGTGTATTTTTTAGGTGTAGTGTGTAATAAGGATGATTGGAAGAGGAGTCGATTCAGGTGGCTGTTGATTCGTGGTGCACCAGGAGACGAATCTGCACCACTTGGAGAGGTAAGTATTTTGAGTTGTTTTTCATCTGCTATGGATGAGAACGTGTTTGACTAGTGCAGAGCATAAAGATTCGGATGGGTTTAGCCAGTTAGGAACCATGCCATGAGCTTCAAGGTGTGAATCTGGGGGTGTCGTTGTAGATCGCCCTGGTTCTGTGTGAGGAGGTCTGGAAGGACTGGGAGCACATAATGACAGGCGATGAAAGAGGGGAACCAATGCTGACACGCCCATGCTGGAGTTATTAATATGATTTTGGCTCCATCTGTCCTCACCTTCTGTAGAACCCTCAGGATGAGAGGTATGGGAGGGAAGGCGTACAGGAGCGGGCCGTTCCAACTGAAAAGAAAGGAGCCCCCTAGGGAGTCCGGGCTGAGGCCCACCCTGGAGCAGTACCTGCATCATTTTTTGTTGCGGTGGGTAGCGAAAAAGTCCACTAGGGGAATTCCCCAACATTGAAAAAGCATATGAAGGACTCCCCTGTGTAATTCCCATTCGTGTTTCGTGTCAAAATGCCTGATGAGGAAGTCCGCGGTCACGTTCGTGACTCCAGGTAAGTAAGATGCCACAGGTGTTATTCCATGGTGAATGGAATCAGATAGACTCCATGCACAGGGAGCAGGAGCGGGCTCTGCCCTGACAATTTACATAATACATGGCTGTGACATTGTCTGTGAGGATTCTCACCATGGTGTTCCAGATCTGCTCGCAGAAGTATTTGCAGGCATTGAATATCGCACGTAATCTAGAAGATTTATATGAAGACATGTCTCTGATGCCGACCACCGACCTTGCACTGAAATAGACCCCATCTGAGCTCCCCATCCTAAGAGGGAAATGTTGGTAGTGATGTGGTATTGGGGCTGTTGTTGATGGAAAGATACCCCTGAGAGAAGGTATGACGGGATGAACCCGTCCCCTTCCCCAAGTGAGCAGGCAGTGGGGGATCCCGAGCTGGAAGCTGGCAGGCATTTAAAAGTGACGCTGGCACAACTGAGGGCAAACGCAGCCAGGATGGCTGGACCATAGGTGAACACAGCCAGGGCGGCCGGGACGGAGGCAGGAGCAGCCAGGGCAGCCGGCACAGAGGCAGGAGCGGCCAGGGCAGCCGGGACGGAGGCAGGAACGGACAGGGCATCCGAGGCCAGGGCCAAGGACAGACACCTGTGGGAGGTCCGGAGCCACCAGGCGAGAGAGCCACCAGAGTCATTGACAGTGGCCCATCAACAGACCTAGGCACCAAGACCAGAGTGACGACCGCTGAGGCTGGCCCCAGCCCGCCTGACGTAGGCGGGAGGCACCCGACGGAGGAGCATTTAGGCTGCGCAGGAAGCAGTCCCAGGAGTGGGGGGGTAGCTAAGATGGACAGCAAGCCCCGAGAGGGGTGGTGAGTGAAGCTCATATAACTCGCTATTCGGGTAAGGTCGGCGGGACCTCACCCTTAAGGTCCTGGGGCTGGAGCCCGGGAGTGAGAGCAAGCCCAGGTTCCCCTGACCCAACCTGAGACTCGTGAGGGGGGAGAAGGAGGGACTATGGGGAGGTTCATCCCCTATCAGACCCCTGAGACTGACGAGGGTGCCAGCCCGTAGTGGGCTTGGACTATACCCCCTCTGTGGACAGGTATTCGGAGGGAGAGATCAGCTCGGGGAGGCATAGGCTGCCGTGACTCTGTTCCTGTCCAGGTGCACGGGTGAGCCTGTCTCCAAGCGCTATTGAGCCAAGAGTAAAACTGGGATCGGGACCTCTGTGCTGTAAACGTGAAATCCTTGATCCTACACAACCCGTGGATGAGGGTGGGTGGTTGACAGATGGTGGAGAATGTGGGTATATTAGACCCACACCCTGGAAGTGGGGTGAAATTGTGAGCATCTAGAAGACAAGGGTAAGAGCCGGAGGATGGATGCAGCGCAGTTGTTAGAGTGGCTGGCGGAACACCAATGCCAGAACCACCAACAGCAGACGCCAATGATGCAACAGTGGGCTGCGCAACAGCAGGAGCAGCAGAGACAGCTGGTAAGGGAACCAACCGAACAGCACCAGACTCAACAGGAATGGTGGTTCCAAAAATGGGCCTCAAGGGATAGCTCCGGGATTAGTGCAGCCGCAAATAGCTCAGGGAAGGAAGGAGACCTAGCCCAGTTACCCGTACGGCTAACGAAAATGGGACCCTGGAGGCATTTCTAATTACTTTTGAGCCGGTGGCTACAGCTGCCCGCTGGCCCGACGAGCACTGGGCTACTTGGTTGGCGCTGTATTTGATGGGGCTGGCACAAGCTGCCTATAGGGGCCTTCCCGATAAGGAGGTCCTTAACTACTACAAGGTCAAGGAGGTTTGGGTGAGAAGTCGTCCTGTAGTGGGGTATTCTCCCTTCTAGACCAGACAGTCTTGGCGTGTGGCTAATTCACTGGGCGTATGCAAGCCCACTCTTACCCGAGGGGCCGGGAAGGGGGCTCGGGCCCTCCCTCTCTCCGAGCCCGACCCAGGGCCCTAAGATGGGGATTCTTGTCCCACGTCAGTGGAGGGGGCTGAGACCCCCCAAACCCTCCACTCGCAGGGTCCACGGCCCCGCCCTGGGTCCCTTCTTCCCGGCCGGCCCTCAATCCACTCCTCAGCATGGGGATAAACTCACCCCAGGCCGTCTCTTCCGGGGGTTGTAGAGCCGCAGGGGTCCCTCGGCGTCTTTTCTCCTCGGCGGGATGGTCGTGCCTCTCCTGTCTGGACGCTTTCCCCCTCCTCTCCGTGGCCGCAGCCTTTTTGAATGTGCTGCTGGTCGGCGTCCCGGACCGGCGCCGCCCCCACGTCCTCGACCCCGCCCTCATATTTTAGCCTCCTAAAGGCGTCGTCAGATTGCCCCGTCCATTCTACCCGTTGGGATTGTCCTTTACCTGTAAGATCTGTAAGAGGTGCTGCTATTGTTGAGAAGATGGCTACGAACCTCCGGTAATAACCGGCGAGTCCCAAAAACTGTCGGACCTGTTTCTTCATGGTTGGGGTTGGGTAATCACGTACCGCCTGGATTTTACTGAGCAAGGGTTTAAGTTGTCCTCGTCCCACCGTGTATCCTAGGTAGGAAACCTCCTTTTCCCCGAAATGGCACTTCTTTGGGTTGGCCATCAGGTTCGCTCGTCGAAGTGCCCCCAGTACGGCTGCGATGTGTTCAAGGTGTTGCTCCCAGGACCTGCTAAAAATGACAATATCGTCTATATACGCTGCTGCATATTCTTGGTGGTCTCGTAGGATATGGTTCATTAGTCTTTGGAAAGTGGCGG